CGAACAGGGCAGGCACATTCTCCTTGGCAGCCGCCGTCAATGAATTGTATCTCCAAAGCTGGCATTGTCGCCCATCTGAAAGAGCTGAGGGTCAGGTCTTCAGCCTGCAAAACAGGAGGCCAAAGGATTTCGAGACGGGGAACAATGGCAGACTTTGGTGTTGTCGTATGTTCGGGTGGTAGCAGAAGACGACGAGGTGTTCGCCGTCATACATCTGTCACCAAACCCAATGCAGGTTTCTGTGTCCAGAGCCTTGTTGGACGATTCACGCGCTTTTTTCTTGTTAGCGGCAGCAGGGCGCCGCCATGATTGGGATGATCCCGGCAGCGGGCATCCTGGCATTCAGCTTCAAATCCGAGACGAGGCTCGCATGCCGCCAAAAGGCCGCACGTCCAAGGCTCGCCATTCTTCGAAACCGGTTGTCGACGATTCGCCAGGGCGTGCCCACGGTGGGGAGCAGCGACAGTTCGTCCGAATTGCCATATGAGAGAAAGAGCATCTTGTTGCTCGGGTCTCCAGTCTTTTGTGGCCTCTAGCTTCCTTGTCTATGAAACGAAAGGGTTTTTGTGTGCTTTGCTAGAATGCTAGCCTGCTCGCATTCCATCCATTCCCCTCACCAAGATGCAGCATCCGGCCCCTCCTCGCCCCTCCCCCTTCCCAAGTCCTGCCATTGGGAGGTCGATCAGTGTGATGTTGTCTCCAACGGCTTGCTGCCGGCACCACTAAAGACAATAACCAGATCCAACTATGGAGAGGCCTGCTGGGCCTGGGATTCGCTCTCCGGAAGCTCTTCTCCAGTTTTTGCTTTTCGTCTGTTCTGGCGACGGGGCTCGTTAGCTCCAGCCTCTACGGGGTATTCTGTGGGCTCGACTCTTCTCGAGCTTGGGTAAGGAGCTGGGGATGCTCCGTTTGTCAAAGGCACAGGGTCTCACAGTGTGCGGTCCGATATGTGAGAGCCCTGAGAGATTAAATGACGCCTCCCGAGATCCCCCCCTTGCGTGCGTCAAAGGCCGACCACCAATTGCCATGACGGGCTACGGAAAAGCGTATAGGCGTCGTCTCTGCATGTGCTGATGCGGCGAAAAGGACCCACGCAGCATCCATGGATTGCTTGAACACCAACGGTCAAGGGTTGAAGGCCCCCCCCTGCTCCGAGCTGGGTCCTTTTCGTCTTGGTCACATTGGGGCTCAACGTCATGCTGGAAGTCATCTGGGCGAGACACACAGCCGGCGAAAACTAGCAGCGGCTAGTCCGCCGTCTGGCTCCGTCCCAGCGCGGCCGCCGGATGCTTCGAGGACCATCAAATTGCTGCATTGGCCGTCTCTGAGACAGCGGCAGCCCCTTTTGTCAGCCGGGTCCAGCCCAGCCTGGCCCAGCCTGGCCCAGCTCACCAGCTGCTGCTGTCTCTTCTGTAAGGGGTCTGTTTTCTCTGCGTCAAAAGCAAATGAAGTTGTCAGAGGCCACAGGCTGGCCACTTGGGCCTCTCTCGTTCGACCTGCGTCGTCTTCCCTCTCCTGTCGCAAGGTCTCATGACCCAGATCATGCAACGCTAAGGCGCTGAGGTTTGCTTCTCCCATGGCGACGATATCCATCGACGCGCATGACGAGACAGGAGTACAGATGTATGCTTGTGGAGTCGCCGCCGGCTATCTGCTTTATCCTATTCCTACAGGCTCCCCGGTATGTAATGGGCTTTGTCATGAGAGCACAAGCAGGAGCAGAAGCATGACCCGTCTCAATCGGGCTATCCAGTGCCCTCCCTACAGCTCGAGGACGCGACAGCCAATGGCCGTCGTCAATTGGCCGAGCTGCAACGTGGCGCCCTGTCCCGTTGGCTCCGAGCTTGTCCTGTAGAATGAGCACGGCGGATGTAGCACCGGCTGGGCCATGGGATGATGATGCTTTTACATTGTTACTGTTGCACAGGCGCCAGACCAGTTTCGGAGAGCTGTGCATTCCGCTGTCTTAGACGAAGGGACGATGCGACTTGTGTCATCTATCAGGGCCAGCATTGGAGGCAGCAGATGTCTTGGCCATCGAGACTGAGGTAATCAAGCGTGACCTTGTCTACTGCTTGATCCCGGATCGACACATTTTTTTTTGGTCTATGGACGACGATCCATGGCCTATGCTGATTATCGAAGAATCTCCTGGAGCGGTTACAGTGCAGATTTTATGATGAGCACTGCAAGCCTCACCGGGATAGGCAATGCCAGAACAGGCATTTCGGCCTTGTCAACGAAAATGCAAGGCTGTCGAGGAGAGTCTACGGCTACGCCATGAGTATGGAAACTTGGTGTGGTGTACACTGCTACCCAGCGTACCTAAGGGATGTGTGACCTAGGTCGATGTCGTGAGCACGAAGACACTCTTCTTCATACTTGCTTGGAAAAGGAGTGGTTCGGTAGAACGATTCTTCATGTATAAAGGTGTTAAACGTGCAGCCACCATCTCCATATACTCTTAAGGTTGGTGTCTTTCTGGCGTACGAGGGAACTTTGGGTCATAGCACCGCATAAGCTCGAGATGCCGGTTGGCCAAGTCGATCTCTGGATCAATACGATTCGGATGTCGACCACCAAAACTTTGTCAGGACACAGCTCTTGAGTCAATGGGGGCGATACCCCATGCCTATGGGAATGGCTGAACGGATGGAGGAGGAACTGGAGGGAGCGGCTTATAGAAGATTGTAGTTGGGTTGTATCAATCTATCGACACCTTGCTCTGGGTTGTAATATCAGCAGCGGTTCAACGGTTCTGTTCAGTTTGGAGGTAGACGTGCGGACTGAGTTCTTGCGTCGACCATTCCATTGGTGATTCGACAGTTGTCATAGAGTGACATTGAGCTCTTTCAGCACCTCTTGGCGTGTGTTGGTTCATGACACTGCTCGAGATGGCACCGTGGTCATCTGGAATCGTCGGCGACTGACCAGGAAAGCCACTCATCCAAGAGAAAAGAATTAAACATCATAGTCATGTCAGGAACCTATTACCTCCTGCTAGGTATCTGACTCTTCTTCTTCTTCATCCACCTGTTGCACCACATGAGGATCAAAGGCTCAAAACCCCCTGCTCATCCACCCTTCCTTGAGCTCTAGACGGCGTTTATTGGAGAACATTGCTGGATCTTCTGGACAAGGGAAAAGGGGG